CACACACACACACACACACACACACACACACACACACACACACACACACACAAAATAGTAGATGTGAGCCTATTTGGAGAAGCAGACTAAAGAAACCAATAAAATAGCAGTAAGGGCTACTTTTATTGTAACAGCTACAGTTACAGAATCTTGCAAATTTGAATGTGATTCCTTCACTTCCTCACTTTACCTTAATCTGAGCTGGGGAGAGACCTGACTGAAGAAATTAGTTTCATGTGCTCAAGACCCAAATTTCCTCCTGTCCTTGAAAGCTTTTCCCTATTCCCGCTATACTAGAATAACGGGAAATATCAAAATAATGATAGGTTAGAAAATCAAGTAAAATATGTACTAAACATCCATCTACTTTGCCGCCCACAAAACACTTCTATTAATGGATCGTAGGAATTGAAAGTATCTGGAGGGCATCAGGCTGGTTTAATCATCTTTGACAGATACTCTCAAACTTTTTGCTAACCATTTTCTGTGGCCAATAACTTTTCACTGATTTCCAATTAATATGAACCATATTGTTCCTTTATAGCTTCATCTTTGCTATAAATAAAATTTCATTGTTGTTGTTTTATAAGCCATAAGAAACTTTTATAAAACATAAGGTAGAATATGGTAGAAAAACTGAAGATAATAAACCTTGAAATGAATGTTATTGTGTTGAGGAGTCTATATTCTTCTGAGTTCAAAATAGCACTGTCAATGAAAATAATACACAAACACCTTAAGTGGAAATAATATGACGGCATGTCTTGAGACAAATAATTAAGAGCTACAACAGATACATGAACATTAACCTCTTTCATATCTATTGTTCTGAATTACTTGTGTTGGGGCAGCCAAAGATAAATTGTGATAGCCTGGGAGATCTGAGTGATTTGCAAAGGTTTTCAGTTCCTAATTATTTTAATAATAATGACTGACCTCCCTCCCCCAAACTGTTCTGCTCAAATGATAAAAGTTTTGGTGAGAGCAACTGGAATTGAATTTAGACATACAGCAACTGAAAGCTTTATTTTAGTTTTGCTAATTAGAAATATATTTTGGACTCGGGATTCTGTAAATCTCAGAGCATGTCTTTTACTAAGTCAGCATCAATGAACACCAAGATTTTTAGTATAAAAACAAAATAATTATCATAAGCTTACTTATGTTTTATGCTGTTAAGAAAATGAACTGAGAAACAGCTGCAAATCACCCAGAGTGCTGTCCGGGAATGGTTGGTGCTGATGCATTCAGGCAGCAGAACTGATGCTTCATATTCTTTGCCTATCTATTCCCAGTGTTCAAAAATAGAAAGAGGAGGCTGCTCCCTTTGACAGTGAATTAATAAAACATTTAGTAGTAACACGTAGGAGGGCTTATTCAACATTTTCTTTCTACAAAAAGGGTTAGTTTTTCTGTTTTTTTAAAAAAAAGATTAAACTGGAAATATTTATCCAAGTATTCATTTTTAAATGTGATGAACTAGGTCTTTTCAACTTAAAAATATTCCTGGCCATTTAAAGAGTATTTTGAATCACTTAGGGAGAGCATGGTTGACTTCTCTGTCTTAACAATAAGTACATGAACACTGAGATAACTGTAGCCTTCAGTAGTTTAGCACAATACTTGAGTAAGTCTTCAGTGAGTTGCAAACTTTAATTATCAAAAAGGAATTGATCACTTCAATAGAAACAATCCACTAACAGATAAACTAATGCAAAATGCACAGGCTTCAGCAGCATAACTTTATTTCACGACACAGACTTGACCATTCTATATCTGGTGGTCTGCAGTGCAAACTAGACTGTGTAGCAAATACTGTCAACAGACACTGCTTAAGAGGAGAAGGTGGAGACCATATGTGCCCCTCGAGTTTTGGTATGGTTTCCAGCCTTCTTCTCCTCCTCCTCCTGCTGCTGCTCAACTTTTACTAATTATATGTTTAAAATAAATATAATAGTTTTAAGATGTATGGGACCACGTGATAAACTTAGAAAATCTTGGAGAAGACATAGCAAAGAGAGTTTTTAAAACAGACAAATTTGCTCTGGTATGTTCCAGGTATAAACAGTGATGTTTTGGAACCTTATCTCAGGGTAAAATCTTGCCAGGATATTTAGCAGTATTATGCTGTTGTAAGAAGTACAACATGTTCTATGGCAGTGTAACAGAGAACATATAAATTATAGCATGTGTTTTAACAGACAAAGATTCCACTATAATATCTGATGGAGATTTTAACATAAAACAATTAGTCTGTAGCAAATCTGCTAGAATTTGAAATGCTTAAGTACACTTTACTATTTTCATAATAACAGAAGCTAAAGGGCAGTAAGCCTACTAACCATTATCATTTACTTTTACTTTCAGATTTATCTATTGCTTTCTCGAATTACAGCCAAGATTGTCTGTCTGCGAACAATCACAATACAGGTAGTCCTTGACTCACAACAGTTCATTTAGTGACCATTCAAAGTTAAAATGGCACTGAAAAAAGTGACTTATGACCATTTTTCACACTTACAGCCATTGTAGTATTTCCATAGTCATATGGTCAAAATTTAGACCCTTGGCAACTGACTCATATTTATGATAGTAGCAGTGTCCCATGGTCATATGACCACCTTTTGCAACTGGTTCATATTTATGATTGCCACAGTGTCCATAGGTCATGTGATCAACCTTTTGTGACCTTCTGACAAGCAAAGTCAATGGGGAAGTCAGATTCACTTAAGAATTGTATCACTAATTTAACAACTGCAGTGATTCACTTAACGTTTGTAGCAAAAAAAGTTGTAAAATGGGGCAAAATTCACTGAACAACTGTCTCACTTAGCAACAGAAGGTTTGGGCTCAGTTGTGGTTGTGAGGGCCATGTGCATAAGAAATGCATGAAAAAAGAAAGAAATCTCCTCCCCTCAGTCAGAATATCCAGCCTAAAATTCCCAAAATGTTCTAACAATTTAAAGTTGATTAAACGTTACTTACCTTTCTTGCAAAATAAGTTTATTTTCCTTTTTCCAAAATTCTTTAAAGTCAGAACTGAATTCATGCCATATGCTGAAGAAAGCATTCAAGGAAACCTCCTTTTCACCCATTTTTGCTTTCATACAGAAATATGCTGCAGTCTCCAAAAAACTATCAAAGGAAACAAAGATGGCAACTATTTATTTAACATTATTTTATCTGCTTCTCTCATGCAAAGATGATACTTTTTTTTTTACAAATTACTTGATAATTATCTAGAATACATTCATGATTACTTCATCTCCATAATCAGCTTTAGGAAAGGTAAAGACTGATATTTAATATCTGCAAGGGATTGTGAAAGCAAAATTGCATTGGACCAGTTTTTAAAACCAAGAAAACCAAGGTTGGTATTACTATTCACACATCACTTTTTCATAGCAAATCAATCCTTTTACAATGTATGTCATGCTTGCTGTTGTGATTTTTAGGGAAATTTTAATTCATGGCTACAACAAAGACACCATGTATGCTTTTATCTGGCTGCTTGTTCCACCTGATGTTTTTTTTTTTAAACCAATAAAAATAAAATGAAAAAAAACACCACTGTTACATTGGATAGCAAAGCATCACCGACCAACAAGGTTAGCAATGATGTGTGAGGAAAAATGTTATCTATGCATGGCTGGTTATATTTTGTGCCTATATGCAATATTTGTTGCATGTATAGAATATAATTTTTTATTGGCCAAGTGTGATTGGACATACAATCGTATTTGTTGTTGTTGTTTTTTTGTTTATATATTTGTATATTTGTTGCCTGTGCAAATATGCTAGGTTTTTTCTCTCTCTATGAAAATATTCTGTTGTTCAGGTTGTGGATATGAGTATGAGAAAAGCTCAGACCCCACCTTTCCACTTTTATTCTTGAGTGACCTGTTTTTTTAGTGTTACCCATTTATCTTCTAGTTAATGAATTCTTCATTTGTGACAAAGCCACCATGGCAGCCGCTGTTGAGAATGAGCTAGACCTCTTCTTTATGTCAGCTATTTTATGAATGAAAGCACAACATGCCCTTGGCATTCCAAACATGGCCACTAGTCTTAAAAATTGAGGATTGCTGAACAGTGTATTGTTCTTACAAAAGAAAGATATGTCACAGTGGTGGGCAAAAGGTCCTGCAGTCAAATCAAACCATCCCCAAACAATTTTTGAAATAGCCCTTGCTCTAGAAAATTGTATTAAAGACAACCTTAAGGAAGGCATTTTCCTTTGTTCCTTTTGTTGTAATCTGATAGCTGGCAAATTTACACAGAATAAAACTTGCTCAAGGGGGAAGCCTTGATTTATGACAGGTGAAAACAACCCTTCTCCCAGACTGAGTCAAACTCATGGGAATGGACAATATTCTAAGTCTTTTCAAAGATACTGCAATCAGTATGCAGTCCCAAAAGGTGCTTTTTTCAAGAGGCAACTGGACTTTTTTGTTTTTCTTTGAAGATGTTTTACTTCTCATCCAAGAAGCTTCTTCAGTGAAACATCTTCAAAGAAAAACAAGAAAGTCCAGTTGCCTCTTTAAAAAAAAACACCTTTGGGACAACCATGACCTGGATGACTCTGGACTGTCTCCATAGAAAATCAGTGTGCAGCTCATTCAGAAAGAGGAAGCACTAAATATGACCAAATTCTCCCATAAACACCTTATGTTTCTCCAGACTTCAAGTATTTTCTATACACCACTCTATAGGTAGCAACTTGAGCTACCTAGGTATGATATGCTAGGGCCACAGAACAACACTACATTTACCGAAGGATATATAAGATTAAAAGCATCATGTTCAAAGCAGTCCTTACAGGCTCTACATTTAAATATAAAATAACAATAAACCATAATTTTCCATCTCAAGCCTTTTCAACAATTGAGAAGCCAGAGTAGATTGAAATTCTCACAAATAAATGCTTGATGAGTTTGATAAATAGCACTAACGTTTACCGGAGACATGAAAGCTTTTGTTAAGAATACTATGTGATCAAAGAGGGTAAAAGGCAGGCTTTTGCACAGATCACTGCTAATCTTGCTGGGAACCAAGAGAAAGCTGATTCAGACACACTGAGACGTTTAACTGCCAACGGAATTCCTTTATCTAAACAGCTACAAGAAATAATCAAGTCCTCAGCTGGGTCACTTCTGCAAAAGTGAGCTTGTTTGTAAGATGCAAAACTTCAGACACTGGAACGCTGTCAAAAATAATACACAAATATCATTTATATACAAATATGAAGACTAGGGATTGGAATACAAGGAGGCTTAGAAGCAGGGTTCCTGAGGAATTAAGTTGTTTATCAAGTGAGCGCAGGCAACTTGCATTTAAAGTAATCACCTCCATTTGTTCTGAGAAAGTTTCCCATATATGGTGATTAAACCAACTCCACAGCATTCATTTATTTAAAAAAAAAGGAAGGAAAAAGAAAACAGAGAAGTGAATGCAAGGTTTGGTACACTATCACCCCTGTCTTCTCAACAACTAGTTCTGATATATAGAGAGTGCAAATAACTGAACACTGAATTTGAAGGGAAATAGATTTGGTTTTTTTAAAAAAATAAATGGCTATTTTAAAATATTTTTTGTGGTAGCTAGAGAAGAATTCTGCACCTTTATGAACAACATTTTAATTTCTAATCTATGCATTTTAAGCAAGAACCTTACCAACGTTAATAACTTCAAGAAATAAAGTTTCTATTGCTAACTAGATTAAAAATGCTAATTTTCCAATGTAAATTTACACGTATAATGTGGGGGTATCTTTTAGCAAACAATTCAGGATTAGTTTTAGGCAGAGCTGCAGATGAACTGTGATCAATTCCAAAGGCTGGTAACAAAACTTCAGGAAAAAAATATGTATTTAAAATGACACTGCCTATATTTTGTTAGTGATATCAAGCAATTTCTCCAAGTTTGGTGCAGAAACAATTAGCAGCTATAAGATTTTTTTTACTTTGACTTTTTGCTATGATCTAACTTGTTTTTTTTCCTGTCTGTCTCTATCTCTCCCTCTCCTCTGTCTTAATCTCAGGTTTAATTTTATTTAGTTTTGAAAGTTGGAAAATTGTTTATTTTACTTAATAGTTAATGTTACTGTTTTGGAAGGCTTTTTAAAGGTTAAAAGGCAGGGTAGAAATGTCTTTAAGGAATATAGGATGCAGAGTAAGACACAACTTTTCAGAAACTCTTTTCAGATGGCTTCGAATGATATTTTGTTATCATCCTGCTTATACATTGAGATGTTTTTTCTCACAGCTCTATAAAACCCCAAACCTATTTTAAAGGATCCTATCCTTCCTAGGCATGTCTCCCTATGAACCTTGCAGTGAAAGAATCTGTCCTGTGAAAGAATCTGTCCTGTGAATTCCTGGATGTTGTACTGCTGGCAGGTGGGCAAACTGGAAGCAACTGAAAGTTTAGAAACTCATTAAACTAGGAATGTATTGAGGCGCAATCGATCAAAGGAAGTCCACTTAAACAAAGAGATTTCTGACAGCAACACAAGTGTTAATGGAGGGGAAAACCCCTTAAAGTAAGGGAAAATTAAAAAAAAAGATGGCAATATTTTATTGCTTTCACATTTCTTATAATAAACTAGGCTTGTGAAGGTTCTAAGATAAAAATGAAAACAGAGCATCTCCTATTTACTGACTGCAGTGAATGCTCAATAAATACATCCTTAAAAGGCAAAGAGGAGGACAAAACCAGGGTCAATGATTTCCCAAGTACAAGGGCTGGACATAGAAAACTACTGAAGTGTAGGCTAGGAGGGTGTAGAAGTGGCGTAATTAGAGGAAAAACCTGCCAGCCAAAACTCCACAGTTCTCGTCATGGGTTTGCTAATTACATTCTTGTCCCTTTGGTGAGGACACTTCCTAATGAAGAGCAGTCTTTGCAAAGCTAGTGCAGGAGGCTGAAAGCTCTCAGCTTAGATGCTTATCTTGAAGGTTAGAACGCTGTACCTATGTTTCCACCACTAACACAGAAGGTGGGGGAGGTCGCTGTTGGGGATTAATAGAGGCAGCAAAGGTCAGGAGCTTTGCTTCAGCTAGCATGACTTTTCAATCCTGCTTAGAAAAATGAGCCTTTGGTTGTTCACACTGCTATTTTGTTTATGGAGGGCAGAGGCTAAATATCTCCTGCAAGGATTTCCAAGCAGCTTAGATTCCCCATATTCAAGACTGAGATATTCCTTAATAAAGATAGTGCCTTGATATTTGCTTTTTATGGCTTCAATTCCAGAACAATTAGTGGAAGGAAACCCAGCAGAATCAAACAGGATGATCTCTTCCCCCTCCACTCAGGAAAACAAGGGTGGAAGAAATTCTACGAACAACACTTCAGGTACATAAGTGCAAAATAATTATTTTGTGCCAAAATAGATCAAAAGGCAGTGCTAAGGGAATATCTTGACTTGGACTCATTTTTTTTTCAGGTTCTAGATCCTTGCCCACAGAATTTTAAACAATAAAACCCCCAAATTCTCATGTAAAGGTGGCAATTTCTTACTAAAACGTTGTTAAATGCCCCCTCAGAATGCTGTACTCATAGGGAAATATCTGAATTTCAGAGGAACTGCATTTTAAGGTAAATGGGATATCCAGCACCTAAAAGCACTCTATTGATCCCTGATCTATGAGAAGTGTATTTCATTACTTGGTTACCATCACAGGAAGACCCTATATCGATCTGCCTAATCCATGAAGATATGGGACATCTTAAGCAAGGCCTAAAAGTATATTTTTTTTAAATGCAAATGATTCATTTTTTGTGCACGATCTTTGCTGAAGTTAAGCAGAGAGTTTAGATGTGAACTTTGTATCACTATAGAGAGCATAGCAACATCCCTTGTAATACTATTTTTGTTCCCCATAGAAGGGCATTCAGGTGGCAAGATCTGATACCCTAGTCCTTGAAAGGTATAACATTCCTTAGGAGGAATAATAACATCCCTTAACAGGAATGCTTACCAGTGTGCTTGGAAGTAGTGCAAGTTCTATTGAATTGCCCTTTATACCTTACCTTGCAAGCAGAGCTAATTTCTCCCTTTATTAGCAGATGCTTGGGCTGGCCGCAATCAGAGATTGTAAGTATTTTATTAAGAGATCAGTCTAGTGAAATCTCCA